AATGGTTATTTGGGGATCGAAGAACAAGACTTAATATATTTCGATTAGAAGCAATAGCAAAAATTTGAACCTTCTATTACACAAATATTAAAGAAGAATTAGCTTTTTATGGAAAAGAATTATCTGAATGTAATCTAAAAGACAGTATAAATGGATCAACTGTTAATGCTAGTCAATTAGAATTCATTAGACAGCCAAATGAAGATTCATTTAATCCTATTTCTGAACCTTCCAGCATGCAACCAAAAGAAATTGGTGATAATAGTTTGTCAATTGAAAAAATCATTGGCATTTCAAATCCTGCATTTATTGGTAATAATGCATTTATTGAAGACCAAGGCAAAACATTAGATACAGTAACTTAATGGTTAGGTTCAGGAAAAGTTGATTATGAACCTGCAAGCCTGGTAGCAAGAATATTAAATGAAGTTGAAGAATAATTAAAGCAAAAGCGATAGGTTAACATTAAATATGTTTAAATTTTATATAATATATAGCTAGTCACATATATGTTTTATATATTTACATAATATATATATAGCGAACATATATAGCAAATATATATAGTGAATATATATAGCGAAATTATATAGCGATAGTAATGTATGCAAAAATTATGTGCAGAATAAAACTATATTAAGTTACAGCGTATGAAAAGTTAAATTACAATATATAATATAGCACGGTTATATCAATATGTTACGGCACAAATGCATGTTATGACATGCCGTAATTTAAAACAAAAAGTTGAAATAAGTTATAACTCAGTTACATCACGGCATGTTCCGATGCTTTGAGTTTCTACCGCATCTCTAGTCTGGACATACTAATTATATGAGGCTATTAGCTGATAGCACTTTTAACCATTATAATGGCTTTTTGCCTATATTTTCTTTTTGTTTAGTAAAATAACTCTTGTAAATGTCACGTATATACATCATCTGGTCAAATCATAAATGTTCTGATAAGCTTTATCTGGTATTACGGTCGAGTGGGAGAGCTTCAAATAAAGTATCCGATTTAGCTCCGATCGTGAACAAAAATGGGTATTAATCGTAAATGGTATTATTACTTTGGAAGTCAGTTAAATCACGTGATAGATGGTAAAGAAATTTAAGATTATGTAGTAAAGTTATGTGTTTGATAATTTAATTTGATTTATGAATTAACTTCTGAAATTATAGGGCAAAGGTTTCTCTTTATTAATGTTTCTCAAATACAATTAATATATCGAATTATACCCGAGTACAAATGCAATTAAGACTGCAAACTACTACAAGTGATAATTATTTTTATTCAAATCTGAAACCCACTCCTTTTATATTTGTTAATTTAGCCTAGAGTTTTAAACCGTTGAGAGCTTTTTCCTCTATCTGGGAGTCAATTACCCCTGAGAGCTTACAGCTCTATCTGGGAGCCCAAAGCTCCTATACGCCCCAACGATCATCCCTAATCCATACTCAAATAAGAAAATAATATAATAATAATAATAATTATAATAATAATAAGAATGGTTTATTGGGGTCTGGATACGAAAGATATATATTTCGCTTAACTTCTTTCTTTAGGTTATCGAATGCTTTTTGGCATTCTTCTGTCCATTTGAATGTGGTATTTCCTGTTAATTCATATAATGGTGCTGCTATATCTGCAAAGTTTAATATATATGGTCTAAAATAATTCATAAATCCCATGAAGGCTTGTACTTCAGTCTTATTGGTTGGGATAGCTTTATCATCTACTAATGCTATTTTCATAGCATTTTTCATGATTTGACCATGTCAAATGATACAATTGAGTATAGTAGTTTTTTCTACTAGAAATTCACATTTGGATGGCTTGAGCTTCAGCCCCGCTTTTTTAAGGATTACTAAAGTCCTCTTTAGTCTATTTTTCATTTCTTCAAATGTGTTTGCTACTACAGTCATGTCATCCATATATATTTTTACCCAGTCATATTTTTTAAATAGCTTATTCATTTCTGCTATTAAGTATGCTGGTGCAGTTGTTATTCCAAAGGGTAACCTTTTTCAAAGATATATTCCATATTTTTCAAATCTGCTTGCAGTATATTTCTGCGAGTTTGGGTGTACATTAAGTTGCCAATACGCAGATTTTAAATCCATTGTTGTATAATATTTGTATCTACTAATATCTTGTAGGAATTGTTGTGTATTTGGTAGTGGTTGTTTAAATTTAACTAAATGTTTATTTAGTCTATGATAGTCTATTACTATTGCTTTTCTACCATCTTTCTTAGTTATTATTTGCACATTGCTTGCCTATTTACTATATCCAGGATATATTATATCATTTTTTTCTAAATCTTCTAATAACTCTTTGATGATTTTTTCTTTATCAAGAGTATATTTTCTAATTCCTTGATTTTTATCAGTTAAAGGAATTTGATCTTCAGGTTTATTCAATACAAATTGAATATCATCTATAGAGTGTCTGTTGACACTAGTTCCCATTTCTTGATTTTCTCTAAATTCATCTACATGTTCGGTTAGAACATCACCTAATATTTCCCATACTTTTTTACCACATCTTTTCTGTAATATTTTAATTCTTTCTTTTTTAGTTTCACCTAATTTTTTAGAAGAAAAAAATTCTGGATCATATCCGATATTATCTTCTTCAATTATTTGTTCTATATTTCTTATATGTTCTTCTTTATTTATTTGAACTTTCTTCTCTCCAAAGTTCATTATAAGAATGTATTCACTATTTGGTCATCCTTGTTGTATGGCTAAGCATTTTTGTGCTAGCTTTATTGGTGTTCCTACTATTCCTTTTTCTTGTAGATTTTGTATTTCTATACTCATTACTGTCATAGGGGGTATATTGTAATGTTTTTTACTGTAGATCTTTTCCTCATTTGATTGAATTATAGTAGGTATTATTTTTCTTTTTAGATCAGTTCTTAAATGATTTAGTTGAATATTATCATATTCATCATCACTTATTCCAAATCCTTTAGATTCATTTAATTGTTTTTCTACTTGTTGTCCAAATTCTTCATGATGTATTTCTTGAAGGTCTTCTTCTATTGCTTGTTCTAATTCAGCAAGTTCTTCTTTTTTGAAGTCTTCTAATGGTTCAAATATCGATTTAGGTACATAGATTACATACGTTTGTCCTTTGAAAGTATGTTGTACTGGTATATAATTTGATGATTGTCCTTTAATATGTATTCCATCATTATAATAAGCTTCTTCAAATTGAGATTGATTATTTTGTGATGAGGTTTCAGATATTGGACTTTGTTCTCTATCTCTTTTTTGATAAGGATCTGGTGAAGGTGTGTACGTTCTTTGATTTCTTTTTCCTACTATGGGTTCTGCTCTTAGAGGTGGATTCCATTTAGATATTCTTGGTGGTAGGATTGGTGATGGTGGTTCTTTGTTTTTATTAACCAAAGGTTGGTATAGTATGTTTCATCTTTCATTGTAGATGTTCTACTTAGAGGTGGTTGACTTAGTTTTGAGGGTGTTCCTGGTCTAGATGTGAATGTTCGTTTTACTTCTTGGATTGCTTCTTCTAAGTATTGTGTTACTTTGGGTAATACTCCTTTTTGAATGTTTTCATTTCTTTTTGAGGATTGTGATATTCTTCCATTATCTGATATATTATCAGTTGGTAATCTTGGTAAAGTTATTGATATTCTTACTTTTTTGTTTTCTTCAATGAATTGTTCATCTTTTGGATGATTATAATTATTTTTTGGTAGATATGTCATCCTTCCTTGAGGATCTGGTATTAATGGAATTGGTTTTGGCTTTTTTCTTGTGTCTAGGACTTGTCTATAAATTCTTTCTTCTATGACCTTTTATCATGCATTTCTCCTATTTTATCTAGTTGATGTTCCATAAATTCTCTATATTTATGATATATTTTTTCTTTTGTTGATTCATCTTTACAGTGTGCTTGCGCTGCTATGAGAGTGCTTATAGTAGCTTGTTTTTCTACATCTCCCATATCACTGAATTCTTCAGCTGTTATGTTTAATACTGCATGAATATCTTTATTATATTCTTCTTCTAATCCTTTAATTTCATCTTGATATTTTCATAATGTAGCATCATTTGTTTCATTTAATGCTGATAATACTTCATATAAGTATTCTCTTCTATTTTCAGCTGGTTTACTTGGTTCTTTTAATTTTGCTACTTTCTGTATTGATTCCAGGTGTTCTTCAACCTGTTCTTCAGTCATTTCTGAAGTGTAACTATAGGTTTTATTTATTTGTTCAAGTCTCCAATTGAGATCTTGTATTGTTTTCTCAATTCTTTCATCTTTAGCTATTTCTCCTGCTGTAATAGCTTTATCTAATCTATTTAATTTTGTTTTTATTATTTGTCCCATTTTCTTTAGATTGTCTATGGGTACATCTTCTTCTTTTTGTTTTCTTTTTCCATTCTTGGGAGGTAATACTCTGTTTATAGTATTATCTACTTCTTGATAGATCTGATTTAGATATTTGTTATTCAGATTTCTTTGTCCAAAATCTACTGGTTGTTCATTTCTTACTGTAAAGGTTGTTCTTTGTAACTGATCTGCTAAATCTGAGACATCAGGGTCTTCAAATTGGAAACCTGTAGGAATGTATATTCCTGCTCCTTGAGATTCTATTAACTCTTGTTGTTCTTGATCTTTTTCTTTAGTTCACTTTTGGACCTTTTGGTTATTTTCTTCAATAAGATATTTTGCATATTCTCATAATTTCATTACTTCATGTATTTGTGCGATTTGATCTGATAATTCTATGTTTGGTGTTTCTAGTACCATGTCACAGACCTCTGTGTACTTTGCTATTGCTTGGAACACTTCTTGTATTATCATTGCATCTGGATCTAGTATATGCATATGTTTGTCCATTCCTGCTCCGAATATTGCTTCTTTAGGATTATTATTAATGTGTACTAATTGTATTTTTTTCCATACATGTAAAGTATACTTTTGTATTTATTTACATGTTTTCCATTTCCTGCTGCATAGAAGTGCTATGTGTTAAAACACATTGCTATTCTTCTTTTTCCTTTATTCCTATCTTTATACCATAAAGTTTGATCTATACTATCTAGGATATCTATGAGGTCAGCCATTGTTGATCTATAGCATTTGGTACTTGTGCTATTTTCTAATAGTATTCCAATTCTTAGATTGTTTTCTACTATCTTTTTTAATAAAAAGTTGATATTTTCTATTACATCTTCTCGATCGCGATTTACTTTTTTTCTAGATGGAGCACTGCCCATCTAATTTCCATTTTATTAGTGCATTTTAATTCTTGAATTATCCTTATTATTTTCCAGTTAAGCTGTTTGCTTCCATTATAATATGTAAATAGCTT